TTTTTTTTTTTTTTTTTTTGAGGCAAGGCCTACCTCTGTCACCCAGGCTGGAGTGTAATGGCGTGATCTCAGCTCACTGCAACCTCTGCCTCACAGGTTCAAGTGATTCTCCTGCCTCAGCCTCCCAAGTAGCTGGGGCTACAGGTGCGTGCCACCATGCCCAGCTAATTTTTGTATTTTTAGTAGAGGCGAGGTTTCACTATGTTGGCCAGGCTGGTCTTGAACTCTTGACCTCAAGTGATCCACCCACCACCTTGGCCTCCCAAAGTGCTGGGATTACAGGCATAAGCCACCACGCCTGACCATAATGTTCACTACCTTGACAGGGCTTGGATTACTCATATGTATGCATTTGTCGAAACTCATCAAATGCTATCTTTAGTATTTGTGCATTTCACACAAATTTTTCATAGCAAAAATGTACCTCTCCACCCACTCTGCTAAAAAAAGCCCATAGAGTCGGGTGCGGTGGCTCATACCTGTAATCCCAGCACTTTGAGAGGCTGAGGCGGGCGGATCACCTGAGGTCGGGAGCTTGAGACCAGCCTGACCAACATGGGGAAACCCCGTGCCTACTAAAAAACCAAAATTAGCCGGGCGTGGTGGCACATGCCTGTAATCCCAGCTATTTGAGAGGCTGAGGTAGGAGAATCGCTTGAACCTGGGAGACGGAGGTTGCAGTGAGCTGATATGGAGCCATTGCACTCCAGCCTGGGCAACAAGGACGAAACTCCGTCTCAAAAAAAAAAAAAAAAAGCCCATAGAGAGAGAAACTCCAGTTAATGGCATAAATGCTGAAGTGTTCAGGAGTTAAATGTATAAAAAATTAGGATGGGTTAATGGATAGAAAGAAGCACAGGTAGATAAATAGGTATATGATAAAACAAATACAATAAATTGTTAGTTGTGGAGTTTAGGTGGTAGGTATATTGTTGTCCAGAGTACAGTTATAATGACTTCTCTGTGTATCTGAAAATTTTAATAAATAAGTGTTGGGAGAAATCAGGCACAGGGACTTGGAAGGCATTTTGTGCAATTAAAAGGCCCTGAAGATTAAGCTTTGTCAGTTTTTTAGTAAATTCACCTATAATAATTGTGGGTCTGCCAGAGTATGAATAATTGATTTACCAGGGAGAATTTTCACTGTAACTCCTACAGTAAATAGAACAAATGATTTTAAAGATGAAAACAGTGTCTGGGCATGGTGGCTCACACCTGTAATCCCAGCCTCTTTGGGAGGACAAAGTAGGAGGATCCCTTAAAGACAGGAGTTCCAGACCAGCCTGGGCAACACAGCAGACCCTGCCTCTGAAAAAAAAAAAAAAAAGAAAAAAAGAAAGAAGGAAGAAAATAAAGTAGTAATACCTACCAATAAGTTCTACAAAATAATCGTATTATATGTATATTCGTCTGCATTTTTTTTTTTTTTTTTTTTTTTTTTGAGACGGAGTTTCGCTCTTGTTACCCAGGCTGGAGTGCAATGGCGCGATCTCGGCTCACCGCAACCTCCGCCTCCTGGGTTCAGGCAATTCTCCTGCCTCAGCCTCCTGAGTAGCTGGGACTACAGGCACACGCCACCATGCCCAGCTAATTTTTTGTAGTTTTTAGTAGAGACGGGGTTTCACCATGTTGACCAGGATGGTCTCGATCTCTTGACCTTGTGATCCACCCGCCTCGGCCTCCCAAAGTGCTGGGATTACAGGCTTGAGCCACCGCGCCCGGCCTGCATTTTTTATTTACAAAAAAAACAAAACAAAACATGTTCTAGGTTTAAAAAAAATCAAGGATAAATAAAAGATGAAAAAGTAAGGCCGGGTGTGGTGGCTCATGCCTGTAATCCCAGCACTTTGGGAGGCCAAGGTGGGAGGATCACTTGAGCCCAGAAGTTCAAGACCAGCCTAGGCAACACAGTGAAACCCTGTCTTATAATATTATAATAATCATTTATAATAAATCAGCCATAACTTTATTCACCAGAGATGATTACTAGAATACAAGATCCAAATGTATTTTTGTTGCCGTCTTCTCAGTGATTGAAACAATGTCTAGCACATTTGTTGTTGAATGATTTAGAATGATTTCTGGGGGGAAAAAAAGTAACTTGAGAGGCAGGGGTTAGTCTATCCTAGGAAAAGCACACACCAGGAACAAAGGTATAAGAAATCCAGGCATGGTGGCTCATGCCTGTAATCCCAGCACTTTGGGAGGCCGAAGTGGGCAGATCACTTGAAATCAGGCGTTTGAGACTAACCTGACCAACATGGTAAAACCCTCTCTACTAAAAATACAAAAATTAGCTGGGCATGGTGGTGCACACCTGTAATCCCAGCCACTTGGGAGGCTGAAGCTGGAGAATCACTTGAACCTGGGAGGCAGTTGTTGTAGTAAGCTGAGATTGCATCGTTGCATTCCAGCCTGGGCAACAATAGTGAAACTCCATCTCAAAAAAAAAATGTCTAGAACGAAAGAACCACAAACGTGGGTTTGAGTCTGGCAGGGATTAAAATCTGGCAGCTCTTATGCGGACATATTTTGTTTGTCCTATCAGCATTAAAATATTTTTTTTTGGATACAGAGTCTTACTCTCTTGCCCAGTCTGGAGTTCAGTGGTGCAGTGATGGCTCACTGCAACCTCCGCCTCCCAGGTTCAAACGATTCTCATGCCTCAGACTCATGAGTAGCTGGGATTACAGGCATATGGCCACCATGCCCAGCTAATTTTTTTTCTTTTTTGAGGCAGAGTCTCTCTATCGCCAGGCTGGAGTGCAGTGGCACGATTCTGGTTCATTGCAACTAACGTTTTCTGGTTTCAAACAATTCTTCTGCCTCAGCCTCCTGAGTAGCTGGTACTACAGGCACACAAAACCATGCCCTGCTAGTTTTTTTGTATTTTTAGTAGAGACGGTGTTTCATCACGTTGGCCAGGTTAGTCTCGATCTCTTGACCTTGCGATCCATCTGCCTTGGCCTCCCAAAGTGCTGGGATTACAGGCGTGAGCCACCGTGCCCTGCCTAAAATAATTTTTAATGAGATACTAACCTTTAAAAATAACATCACAGAAAAATCCAATTTTCTAGCTGACAAAATGGAAAGCTCTAGAAATGTCGGGATCCCGTTCTATGTGACAAAGTATAAACTAGAGCTGAGCAGAGGCTGTTCTTGCTTATCTGTTCACTAAAGCCCCTTCCAGGTTCAAGTCATCCATTTAGATTCCTTCCTAGGCTCTATAGGTATTAGAGTTTGCAGTCTCTGGTAGGAGAACTCTGGGATCTGATTGGAAAGTCAGGCTGGAAAGTATGATATGGTATAGATATCTGAATAGAAAGTTTATACTTGATTTTTTGGGCAAGAGGAAGAATCAAACAGTGTTTGCTCAGTTACTTTTATTGTGTAACAAAGCACCCCAAAACTTAGTGTTAAGACAACAATAATTTATTTAGCTCCTGACTGTTTGAATGGGCAATTTGGATTGGGCTCTGCTTGAGTGGTTCTTCTGGTCTTGATTGATCTCATTCACGTAACTGTGTTAGCTGCCATATTGGTTGGTCTAGTATGATTTCAGCTAGGAAAGCATGTTTCTGCTTCATGTGGTCTCTCATTCTCCAGCATGCTCGCTCAACCTGTTCATGGCTGGGTAAGGTTCCAACAGACATTTATAAGGCCTCTTGAAGCCTAGGCTTGGAACTGGCACACAGTCACTTCTTCCATATTCTAATGATAAATCAAGTCACAATGCCAGCCCAGATTCAAGGGTGGGAAAACAGACTTCATTTATGGATGGGAGGAGCTGCAAATTACATTGTTAAAAGGTATGGACACCCAGAAAGATACATTTAACAAACCATCTATCAAAGCTACTGTCAGAGCTGTATTTTTGGAAATATCATTTGAAGTGGGATATGTCCTGTATGACTGGAATTGTTTTCTATTTGTAACAGAGAAGTGCGCACACTCCTTGCACCCATAAATAACTCAATGCCAAAGGATATGAGAGAGAGATGTCCAGTGTGTGCCTCTCCCAGCTTCTTGTCCAGGGACTCCTTGGTTTAGATTTCAATCTACTACTTAGTAAAGGTGGAGAGTTTCTTTAAGATTTCTGTGGATGAATGAACAGAAAATTAGACCAGAGCAAGGAGCTGAGAGCCAAGTTAGAAACACAAAGACATTTCTACATTGCACAATAGTTTAGAAACTGCATTCCCCCTGGTCTGGCTGGTGCCTAAACCACCATCAGCACTCATGCCTTTGTGATATAAAGTTCTCTTACTTGATCAACTTTTGAAACACAAAAACCTCATAGGAGGGGGTAAACTCACATTTTATTGTGAATTAGTCTCTGTTGTTAGATTCCTTAATACCAGGAGGACCCTAGGTTGTAAGGGAGCCTGGTAGAAGAAGAAAGAAGATGGAGGAAAGCATGAAGCAGAGGACAGCATCGTATAAATCACTGTTTTCTTCCCATCCACTCCAAAGACCAATTTTTTAGGAAGCATCAAGTCTGCACTTCTACTCTGTGGTGGTGAAGAGAAAGGTTCAGACAGAAACTGTACTGTGACTTTGATTTTTCATTCTAAAAGGTAGGGATGTGGATGAAGGGAGAGGAGAGATGATGGATGAGACAATCTCTCAGGTAGTGTGAGAGGTTTTCCTAACAGCCCACCTGTGAGAAGGCCTCGAAGAACAGTCCTCATGCTAGAGACTTCTGTAAGTAGAGAGAACATCCTTGGAAGCTGCCTCAAAAGTCTGGACTCATGGCTCTTTAGTTCCTTTTTCCTCTTCTTACCCCTACCCCTTCCCCCTTCCCTTTCCTTTCAAGACGGAGTCTCACTCTGTAGCCCAGGCTAGAGGGCAGTGGTGCGATCTCAACTCACTGCAACCTCTGCCTCTGGGGTTCCAGCAACTCTCCTGCTTCAGCTTCCCAAGTAGCTGGGATTACAGGCACGTGCCACCATGCCTAACTAGTTTTTGTATTTTTAGCAGAGATGGGGTTTCACCATGTTGGCCAGACTGGTGTTGAACTCTTGATCTCAAGTGATCCACACGCCTTGGCCTTCCAAAGTGCTGAGATTACAGGCATAAGCCACTGCGCTTGGCCCCTTCTCTCTTTCGTCTGGGCTTTGTGGGAAGTCTGGGAGATTTAGGCTCCCAGAGAGGGGGACAGTGTAAGGAAAGCAGCTGAAGACATGGTAAGATAAAAGTCTGCATCAAGGCCGGGCACGGTGGCTCAAGCCTGTAATCCCAGCACTTTGGGAGGCCGAGGCGGGTGGATCACGAGGTCAAGAGATCGAGACCATCCTGGTCAACATGGTGAAACCCCGTCTCTACTAAAAATACAAAAAATTAGCTGGGCATGGTGGTGCGTGCCTGTAATCCCAGCTACTCAGGAGGCTGAGGCAGGAGAATTGCCTGAACCCAGGAGGCGGAGGTTGCAGTGAGCTGAGATCACGCCATTGCACTCCAGCCTGGGTAACATGAGTGAAACTCCGTCTCAAAAAAAAAAAAAAAAAAAAAAAGTCTGCATCAAGGAAATAATCCCAAGGATGCTGAAAAAAGGAAGGAAGGCAGACAGGGAGGGAGGAAAAGAGGAGAAAGAGAGACATAAAGAAAGCAAGAGAGAAGAAAAAGAAGAGAGACAGAAAGACAGAAAGTCAATACCACCACCTGCTGTGGTGGCACCTGTTGTCCCAGCTACTCTAGAGACTGAGGCAGGAGGATCACTTGAGCCCAGGAGCTCGAGGCTGTAGTGCGCCATGATCCTGCCTCTGTATAGCCACTGCACTCTGGCCTGGCCAACATAATGAGACCTCTTCTCTAAAAAAGATAAAAGATAAATAGATACAGACAAAAATAAAGGAAGGAAATAGGCAGGAGCAAAGTAATCTGCCTTTCCAAACCATTTTGGATAAAACAATGCCCTTTGGAAGTCCTTACACTATTGACATTTTGCCTGGATAGTTCTTTGCTGTAGAGGGCTGTCCTGTGAATTGCAGGATGTTGATAGCATTCTTTTTTTTTTTGAGATGGACTCTCACCCTGTTGCCCAGGCTGGAGTGCAGTGGCGCAATCTTGACTCACTGCAACCTCTGCCTCCTGGGTTCAAGTGATTCTCTTGCCTCAGCCTCCCAAGTAGCTGGAACTATAGGCACATGCCACCATGCCTGGATAATTTTTATATTTTTAGTAGAGATGGGGTTTCATCACGCTGATCAGACTAGTCTCAAACCAGTCTCAACTCCTAACCTGAGGCGATCCACCTGCCTTGGCTTCCCAAAGTGCTGGGATTACAGGCGTGAGCCACAGTACCTGGCCAACGTTCTTTTTTTTTTGGAGATGGAGTCTTGCTCTGTCACCCAGGCTGGAGTGCAGCGGTGCAGTAGTGCAATCCCGGCTCACTACAACCTCCGCCTCCCGGGTTCAAGAGATTCTCATGCCTCAGCCCTCTGAGTAGCTGGGATTATGGGCGTGTACCACTGTGCCCAGCTAATTTTAGTAGAGATGGGGTTTCACCTTGTTGGCCAGGCTGGTCTCAAACTCCTCACCTCAGGTGATCCACCTGCCTCGGCCTCCCAAAGTGCTGGAATTACAGACATGAGCCACCACGCCTGGCCAGCAGCATCCTTGGCCCTTATTCACCATATGACAGGAGCACAACCCATCCTATCTCCCTGGCCTTATGACAAAAATGCTTTCAGATGTTGCTAAATGTTCCCTGGATAAAATCACTCCTCATTGTAAACTGCTGCCTTGGAGCTGGTGAAAAGGAAATCTTTCATAAATGTGAAATAAACATGGGGCTCATGCTGTTTACACCAAAAGATCCCTACCATCCACAGAGGGCCGTGCAGAGGGCTCATGGGCCCGGCACTCGTCAATGACCTCCCGCAGCTCTGAAGGGCAGTCTTCACCCAGTGGCTCCTGCTGCCGCTTCACAGCCACCAGCTCGTAGATCTTATCAGAATCATAGCCTGGAAATGATAGCATGAGAGCCTTAAAAAGTTGCTCTGGTACTCGTACATCTCTTTGGATGCTGATGGCTGGCATCAGAACTAGGGACTCTGAATATGGAAACAACAAGAGCTTCCAACAATTCCACTGACCAGCCCAGGCAGTCCCCACAGGAAAAAACAAATTGCCCGGGGCAGCACTGATGGGGAATTTCTGGTCTATTGGACAGGGACTCAATCCCTGCTGAGCCAGCCTTCACATTCTTTACCTTTAAACGGGATCTTTCCAGTGGCAATTTCCCAGAGGACGATTCCAAAGCTAAAAGAAAACCAAGAAACTGAACAACCGTAACTAGTTTCCTCTCTCCCATGTCCCTCTAGCCACTGCCAGAAAACTCAGTGACTTTTTTTTTTATTACTACTCAACTTTGTTCAACAGAGTTGAGCTTAAATGGTCCTTGGAGGAATCTGATTTGGGTTTTCCTATCCTGCACATCTGAGTTAGAATCTGCACCAGAACATGAATGTACCTGTATATTTCACACTTTATGTCATATAGATAATATATATCTTCCAGTTTCTGAGGTGAGATATATGCTGTAGATTTGACTGCCTCTGTCTTTTTTCTTGTAGCTTTCAAACTGATGGAAGTCTGTGTTTTCCTCAACTCAAATCCTGCAAGCTAGATAGAGAGGCAACTTAGACACAGAAAGAAACAAGCAAGATCTTGGGTGGAGGAGTAAAAGGCAGGGGTTCTTGCTACACACAATTGCCAGGGAATTGTCTTTTGCCTTAGGGATTTATTTCCTGTAGTGACTTCTGTCTGTGTGGCTGCTCTTTTGGTTAACATTATGAGTTCAACTTATCATAATGCAGCAACCAAGAGAAACACAAAGAGATTTCTCCTCTATAAAATGGAGTGAAAGCAGTGGGGATTACTTGAGATAATGGTTATAAAGCACTGGTAAGACCTGCTAAGTTGTAGTTGTTGCCAGTATGGCTATGTTAAAATGTAAGGGTTTCTCAATCAAGGACTGAACTCCACTCAGTGAGGGTGGAGAGGGGTCACAGTGCCACTGCCCAGCTCACCTTCTCCCAGAGAAGCAGATGGAAAAGTGTCATGGGGGCATCCCCTCTGTGCTATCTGACCCTATAGGGGGTCAGCCTGATCCTTTGGCTTTGGTGTGACATGACAAGTCTGAATCATCCCTCTAGCCCTGCATGGTCATGTGGCGTTCTTTTTGTTGTTGTTGAGACAGAGTCTTTGCTCTGTTGCTAGCCTGGAGTGCAGTGGCACTATCTCAGCTCACTGCAACCTCTGTCTCATGAGTTCAAGCGATTCCCCTGCCTCAGCCTCCTGAGTAGCTGGGACTACAGGCACGCATCACTGTGCCTGGCTAATTTTTTGTATTTTTTTAGTAGAGACAGGTTTCACCATGGCCAGGATAGTCTCAATCTCCTGACCTTGTGATCCTCCTGCCTCTACCTCCCTAAGTGCTGGGATTATAGGCGTGAGCCACTGCAACCGGCTACACATGGTATTCTTAAACTATAGCACAATCAGTGAGAGTATGTGTTCTTGTCCTATGCACAGCTGCCATTGGCACCATTGGTGTGCAGAAGGCTGCCAGCCCCAAACTCATCCAGGTACCCAAATCTAGCGGCAGCGTGAGAAATAAGATAAGGCATTTAGATGGCTCATCCCCCATTCATTCATTCATTCATTCATTCATTTGCTCATGTGTTTCCTGAGCACTGACATTCTCTGACATCTAGCACCATATGGGATACCAGGGATGAAAGGTGGAATAGCACATCTTAGAGTCAGGCTGAAGACTATGAGAGTAGTAGACACACTGTTTTGGGAGTACTTCTGTCATCATCACAGAGGGAGAAAGGCATCTGAAAGGCAAAAAAGACCTGTCTGCTGTTAATTGAGGGCTGTCTCCGACACTCATAAGACTGGAAGAAAGAAAACCATCTATGGATGAAAACAAAGAAAACTGCTAAAATTCTTTTAGCATTTGGGAATTGCGGACATTGAGTTCACAAAATCTTTTCCTCTTCTGTATGAAAATCTGACTTCCAGTGAACTTCTCAGCTCTGTTCCCCTGGAAAGCCGATAAAGGTAGACTTGTCACCTATGGCCCTTAGTAACGCTGCTGATGATAGAAATGACTGCTGATTGTTAGACTGCTTCTGGACAGGATAGAGGGGGTAAGTGGACTACATAGTCAACAGCTGATAGGAATGCTCTGTGGCAATTTTTTCTTTTTCCTTTTTTGAGACAGGATCTCATTCTGTTGCCCAGGCTAGGGTGCAGTTGCATGAACATAGCTCACTGTAGCCTCGGTCTCCTGGGCTGTAGCCATCCTCCTCCTGCCTTGCTCTCCTGAACAGCTGGGATTACAGGTTTGCACCACCGTGAATGGCTGATATTTAATTTTTTTGAAGAGGCAGGGGTCTCACTATGTTGCCCAGGCTGGTTTCAAACCCCTGGGCTCAAGTGATCCTCCTATTGTCCCTCCCAAAGTGTGGAGATTACAGGCATGAGCCACCATGCTCAGCCATGTGGCAGCTCTCAAAACAGCAACTGACATGTCCCTTGCAGAAACACTGGAAGGCATGCCTGCAGGGTTGTTATCAGAGATGTTGACTCCTGCAGGTCATGGGCTTCTAAGCCTGGATGACCCACCCCACCTAATGGGAGCCTCTTTCTCCAGCACCTATGGCTCGGACAAAGAGAGTATGTCCTGGATGACTGCGAGTACTCTTGCTGGAGGGAACAGTTTGCTGCTGCTGACACTGTGCTTTCTGTAGGACATCCTTCTAAGTAACTGAATGACAACTGTGGCCTAGGCCTGTCCTGTGAGTCTGACTCCTTAGACCTAAGAAGATCCCCTGTTGTGAGTTGTAGGGACATAGACGTGGTATGCAGGCATGTAAGGGGAAATGACTTTTAGCCCATCCCTGCTAAATGGCAGTGAGGGAAGGCAGGCATCAGAACAGGAGGCATGGATGGAGTCTGTTATGTGGTGGGCACACAGAAAGTGAAACTTAGTTCTCAAACTAAAAACTAAAATTGAACTCATTTCTAAAACTAAGGCAAGGCCGGGTGTGGTGGCTCATACCTGTAATCCCAGCACTTTGGAAGGCTGAGGCAGGCGGATCACTTGAGGTCAGGAGTTCAAAACCAGCTTGGCCAACATGGTGAAACCTTGTCTCTACTAAAAATGCAAAAATCAGTCAGGCATGGTGGTGTGTGCCTGTAATCCCAGCTACTCGGGAGGCTAAGGCAAGAGAATCACTTGAACTAGGTAAGCGGAGGTTGTGGTGAGCAAGATAACCCCACTGCACTCCAGCCTGGGCAACAGAAAAAGACTTTGTCTTGAAAAACATAAAATAAAATAAAACATAAAACTAAGGCAAGAATCAAGCCTTTCTGAGACATCTGTGCCCCTCTTCTAGCACCAAACAGTCATGCAGGTTTGACCCAGAGAGCCCCGTGGAAGGCACACTCACCTTCACTTGGTAGCCTTCAGTTACCAGGAAGTTTGAGCTTCTGATTTTTCTGTGGAGTTCAGGTGCTTCTGAATGGTGTAGCCTGACACAGCCAAAGGCGGGGAGTATTAGTGACCTTTGCACAAACTTTCTTGGGGGGACTGACAGCTATGACTGGGCTGATGACGCTGGACAGTACCATGGGTACCTGTCCACAGATAGGCAGGAAAAACTGAAATGCAGAGGCAAAGTTTGAGAATCCACAGCTGTGAGTATGCAGCAGAGCTGAGATTCATAGCGTAAGGAGGCATGGCATCCCTTGTGGAGTCCATGCAATCTGGCATCAGGGGTCCCTTGAGGTAGAGAAGGACAAAGGTGCCTCAGTGTTGCTTTGCCTGGGAAGTGCTGGGCAGATCCAAGTGCTCAGAGGCATGGCTGGCTGGCTGGACCTTGTTGGGACCCTTCAGGTCAAAACAGAATGTGAAGCCAGGGTCCCACTGACTTCCAGACAAGAGAACCTTGGTTTCACGAAGCCCCTGTGTCCCAGGTTGTGTTGTGGTCATGGTGTCTGCCTGAGCTCAGATTCTTCCAGAAGCAGATCCTGAGCCAAGGATTTGGGTAAGAGGGATTTGTATCAAGAAGGCGCTCCCTTGGCCAGGTGTGGTGGCTCATGCCTGTAATCCCTGCACTTTGGGAGGCCCAGGTGGGAGGATCACTTGAGGTCAGGAGTTTGAGACCAGCTTGGCTAACACAGAGAAACCCTGTCGCTACTATTAATAAAAATACAAAAAATTAGCTGGGCGTGGTGGTGCACATCTGTAATTACAGCTACTCGGGAGGTTGAAGCATGAGAATCGCTTGCACTCAGGAAGTAGAGGTTGCAGTGAGCCCAGATCACACCACTGCACTTCAGCCTGGGTGACAAAGTGAGACTCTGTCTCAAAAAAACCTCCCAAAGTACCCCAAACAAATGAAAACAAGGTGCTCACAGAAGAAATGGGTGAGGGAGTAGAAGAAGCAGGATGAGGAGAGAGAAGAGAAGAAATCAAGCAAGAGGTGGATTTCAGGTGAAATCCCAGGCTCAGGTGGTCTCACTGGTGGAACACAATGACACCTCAGGGTGAGTCCCACAGGAGGCAAAGGAGCTGGCCTTTTGTACTCACAACAGTCGATAGTTATGAACTGTGTTAGGGATGGCGGGGACAGGTGGATATAAAACTTGTGGGCACTTTCAGCTCTCTGTAAGGGTGAGAGGGCTCCAGGGCCCACGGGCAATCCTCTGAAGATTGCAGCTGTGAACTTTTAGCAGCAAAGCATGCCGAGCAGGGGATGGGTATATAGAGCAGGTAAAAAGGATCAGAAGTCATTTGGAGGGATATTGTTGTGTCCCCTACAATAACCAAAAATACTTCTTTTTTTTTTTTTGGGACGGAGTTTCGCTTTTGTTACCCAGGCTGGAGTGCAATGGCGCGATCTTGGCTCACCGCAACCTCCGCCTCCTGGGTTCAGGCAATTCTCCTGCCTCAGCCTCCCGAGTAGGTGGGATTACAGGCACGCACCACCATGCCCAGCTAATTTTTTGTATTTTTAGTAGAGACGGGGTTTCACCATGTTGACCAGGATGGTCTTGATCTCTTGACCTCGTGATCCACCCGCCTCGGCCTCCCAAAGTGCTGGGATTACAGGCTTGAGCCACCGCGCCCGGCCTCCAAAAATACTTCTTAAACTCAGTAGTTTAGGGAGTTGAGAAATAATAAACTTGATAACTTCAAATTACTAGCTAAGACAGTATTTCCAAAAGTATGGGATGAGGTGGTATGCGAGATTATATAAAGAGAAAATTATTCTCCTTTCAATTTACTCCAGTCTTTCTGATTATATCAGGAGAAAGTCTGGGTTTGGTGTTGGGTATCCTTAAAACTTCTCTAACTATGCCAGTATTTCCATTGTACAAAGAGAATGTGGGTTGGATCACAGAGCTTCTGGCAGGCAGCCTCATCCAGCCAGAATTTAATTACATTGTCTTGGTTTCATTTGTGATCATCTATTTTTGACAAGTGACACTGGTTTTCAATTTATGGTAGTAATAGAAAGTGTCTTTTTTTTTTTTTTGAGACAGAGCCTCACTCTGTCACCCAGGCTGGAGTGCAATGGCACGATCTCGGCTCACTGCAACCTCCGCCTCCCGGGTTCAAGTGATTCTCCTGCCTCAGCCTCCCGAGTAGCTGGGATTACAGGCACGTGCCACCGCGCCCAGCTAATTTTTGTGTTTTTGGTAGAAACACAAAATTGGCCGGGCGCAGTGGCTCACGCCTGTAATCCCAGCACTTTGGGAGGCCGAGGCAGGCGGATCACCAGAGGTCAGGAGTTTGAGACCAGCCTGACCAACATGGTGAAACCCCGTTTCTACCAAAAACACAAAAATTAGCTGGGCGCGGTGGCACGTGCCTGTAATCTCAACTACTCGGGAGGCTGAGGCAGGAGAATGGCTTGAACCCGGGAGGCGGAGGTTGCAGTGAGCCAAGATCACTCCATTGCACTCCAG